CACTTGTTCCACACACATCACATGAACACAGAAGGAATTCTGCTCCAGCCTCTCTTTTGCTCTGCCCTGCCTGGCCTTCCCTCCCTCCTTCTCTCATTGAACAGTCACTCCTTGACCTAAACTGCTCCCTCCATCAGTTCCTCAACCACCCCAAAATTTCAATCTTGATCAACCGACGTGATGAAGACATTTTCCGCTACTTGACCAATCTGCAGGTCAGACCAAAGACATGTTCTTTACTAGGATCGGGCAAGGAATCTGGCACTTGGAGGTGAGGGGGTTGGGGAGGGAGGGGCCCTGGTGTGGTGGGGATTCCAACATTACCTCTACCCTGAGCAGGTGCAGGATCTCAGACATATCTCCATGGGCTACAAGATGAAGCTGTACTTTCAGACAAACCCCTACTTCACAAACATGGTGATTGTCAAGGAGTTCCAGCGTAGCCGCTCTGGTAAGAGGCAGTCCTAGGGAAAATCATCACCCTGCACTCCCATCTGTCTTTGTCCAGTGCCCTCTCCACAGCCTCCTTTCCTCCCAGGCCGGCTGGTGTCTCACTCAACTCCAATCCGCTGGCACCGGGGCCAGGAACCCCAGGCCCGCAGGCACAGGAACCAGGACACTAGCCACAGCTTCTTCAGCTGGTTCTCAAACCACAGCCTCCCAGAGGCTGACAGGATTGCTGAGGTGAGGCCCCTCCTGGCATTGCCAGAGAAAGCCTTGCTAGGCTTGCTTCTGGATGCTCGGGGAATTGGGAGTAGGCTCTGGGGCTTATATTCATAACTCTGTTCCCCTTCCCCCCCTCCTCTCTTTCAACAGATTATTAAAAATGACCTGTGGGTTAACCCTCTGCGCTACTACATGATGGGAGAAGGAGGCTACAGGGCAAACAGAAAGAAGCAAGAAAAAGAAGAAAGGTGATGGGGGGGTTGGTGGCCGAGAGGTGGTTTGTTGGGGATGGGATGGGACAAAGATTAGGCTAGTGTTACACAGAATTTATAGGGCCAAAGGGACCTTTGAGAGAATTCAATCCAATATGTTTTACAAGTGGAGAATGATGCCCGTAAGTAGTCGTGCAGGCAGGAGCAGAGATGGGACTCTCCCCACCCTAACCTCCTCCCTGGGATTCCTTGTAGCCTACTGCCTCCCCAGTTACTTAGCACCTTTTAGTCTAAGTCTGCCCTGCCTCCCACCAATCTTGTACTCAACCCCAGGCTTCCCCACAGTAAAAACAGGGACAAGTATGAAGTGGTGATCATGGAAGACTCTGACGACTATCACATAATGGAAGACATTATCAGTGAGACTTCAGACAGTGATGGCATCACCGACAATGAGACCATTCATGACATCAAGATCTCTGACTTCATGGAGACTACTGACTGCTTTGAGACCACTGACAACGAGATAACCGACATTAGCGAGAGCCTCTGTGACAGTGAGAGCCCTGACCACAATGAGAGCCCTGACAATGAGACCACCGACAACAATGAGAGCCCCGATGACCACGAGACCACTGATAATAATGAGAGCTCTGATGACAATGAGACCGCTGACAACAACGAGAGTGCCGATGACAACAATGAGAACCCTGACGACGAGAACCCTGACGACAACAGTGAGAACCCTGAAGACAACACTGATGACAACGAAGAGAACCCTGATGACAATGAAGAAAATACTGATGACAACGATGAGAATCCCGATGGTGACGAGAACCCCAATGGTGACGAGAACTCCAAAGGTGGCAACCATGGCAGCAGTGGCGACAACCAGGACAGCAGCGACAGTGACAACGAAGGAGACAACGAGGGCAGTGATGATGAAGATAATGATGGCAATGAAGGTGACAATGAAGGCAGCGATGATGATGATGGCAATGAAGGTGATAATGAAGGCAGCGATGATGATGACAGAGACATCGAAGATTACAAGAATGACAGTGATGATCCTGATAAGGATCAGGATAACATCGACAACCAGGATTACTATGAGGATGAAGTGGAGAACATCTCTGAAGAATCCTCAGTGGAGGAAGAAGATGAGGGCAGTGAGGAAGGTGAGCCTAGAGCCCCCTCTTTTCTTCCCTCTTTTCTCTTCCCAGAGAAAAGCTGGCCCGGGTCAGAATATCAAGGGGTGAGTACAGTCTATTCTCGTGGAGAAAAGAAAAAGTATTTTGTGCAACTTTTTAAACAAAGCAAGGCCAAGGAACCTTTAACTTACAATTGTAACAGAACCAAAGAAACAAATTTCAGTTCTAGCTGGTGGGTAGATAGGTTGCAGCAGAGCAAAAGACAAATAATGAATGAAGAGATAGGAGAAGGTGGGTAGAAAATTGAGAAGGCTAAGTTCACACACACAAAGAGGGGGAAAGTGGCAAACATACTACAATTCCGCACACTGTGTACCCAGCCCTGGCCTTCAGGGAACTCCCAGGCTTGTTTGTCTTCTGAGGATCCTTCACCAGTCCTGAAAGCTGCTTCTCACAAAAAGGTCCAGTAGTCAGGTATGTTGGGGACAATACTGTATACATTAATATCTGCAGGTAGAGGGACAGGGTACATTAGCACCTTAAAGGCTCTGAAAAGTCCTGCTGTAAGAAACCTACTTAAACATTGTGGAACCCAGCATTTCCCAGACTTCTTAACCACAGAAGCCACTGTTTACTGCTCGGCAAAACATGCATTTTAGGAAATGCTGAGAAAGGTTTGCGTGTTGGGGGTTGAGGGAGAAGGCACTATTTAAGGTGACTCCCAGGTTTGGTCTGTCCTGGATGACTGGCAAATGGAGGTGCCATTTCTTAGGAATGGGAGCAACATACTGGCAGGATTGATGAAATGCAGGGAGAAACATGGAGTTGGAAAGGCCTGTTGGACTGTAAGTACAGGTAGTATCCCAGTCAGGTTATTTGGGAAGTCAGAAGTTATAAATAAAGGGAGTAACAAGCCAGAAAAGAATCCTAGCCCCGGATTCTGTGGCCAGTTAACGTTAATGAAGTGTTTACTATGTGCCAGGGACAATTCTAGTGATTTACTTATTTTATTAACTCATTTAATCCTCACAGCAACTCTTATGAGGTAGGTACTATTATCACCGTTTTACAGATTAGGAAACTGAGGCTCTGAGAGGGTTGAATTAGGAAGAGAACTGGGCATGGAGGGGATTGTCAGCAGTGTCCAGTGCTGGTGAAAGGTCAGGTAAAATGAAGACTGGGTTTGGCACTGAATAGGTCATCTGTGTGACCTTGGCAAGAGTAGTTTCAGTGGATTGATGTGGGCACCATGGGGTAGGAAGAGGGAATGAGCAAGGGGCAAGGCAATAGAGTCAAACCTTGGCTAAGAAGGGGTTGGCAGAGGGCAGGCAAGGGAGATGTTTGAGCCTGGCTGTGGGCAGGCAGACCTTGGAGAAGCAGGCCCCTGGGGGAGGTAGAAGGAGCTGGAAGACCTATCACTTCTGGGGGTTTAGGCCATGGGGTCTCTGGCAAATCTCCATTGAGGGCAGGGGCAAAGAAGGAGGCATACAATGTAGATTCATTCTAGACATACATTCAGTTAGAGTAGGGAAACTGAGGGAGTTGCCACTGGATGGCATCGTCTTTCAGAGAAGGGGAGGAAGAACTATCTGCCCAGCCCTAGGGTGGGAGTGGGGGTAGGGAATTGGACTAAAGAAGACAGACTGTGGCCTGTTTGTATCAGACTGGGGAGAAGAGGGGGAGCTGCCTGGGAAGGAACAGAAGGTTTATTCAGCTGAGGTCAGAGCTCAGAAGACACATGCATTGACATATTACATGGGGAGAAAACGCTACTTTCAGAGATGGTATCAATTTTGATAAGCCAGAGGCAGGGATTTCCCCCCCCCCCCCCCCCGCTTCTTCTGGGCTTGCTTGAGATAACACACACACACACACACACACACACACACACACACACTTTTTCCAAGCAGAGGTGCTTTGTGAGTGGTCCCAGGCCCCCAAAGCCCTGGCTGCAGGCTCTGTTCACTTGATAAGGGTGCCACCCTCCAGCTTCCAGAACTGAGAAGATAAATTTCTATTGTTTAAACAAACAAACAAAAAAGAGTAATTATCTACCTGCTCATCTAACCACCCTGTTTTCCCCTCCTTACCCCTCGTGTCTCTTACCCTGTACAGACAGCGAGCAAGAAGGAGAGGAGAGTGACAGCGAGGAAGAGGAGGAGGAGGAAGAAGAGGAGGAGGAGGAGGAGGAGGAAGAAGGGATCGAAGACGACTCCGAAGGAGGGGAAGACTCTGAAGACTCCGACATGGAGGAGGTGCTTCAGGTCCAAAATGTTTGGGCCAACCCGGGGAAGAGGGGCAAAACTGGATAAACATTTTACCCTTGCAGGGGTTGCCTCTCTGTATCCCTCTCCCCCTGCCCCATTTGCCCTCCCCCTCAGCTAGGGCCGCGCGGCCCCATATTGCACTTCTGGGGGGTGACCGACTTCGTACACGGGTTTAAAGTTTATTTTTATGGTTTAGTAATTGCAGAGTTCTTATTTTGAGGGGAGGGAAAGGGGGAGTTCCCCCTTCCTTTTGGCCCTCCTCCTCCGCAGGCTTCTGTGTGCTGCTAAAGTATTTATTGTGATGCCTTGGTCAGGGCCCCTCTATCCCCCTCCTCGTGCTGTGTGGAGTGGACACCCTTGATCCCGAAGCAGGGAGGGCCGCTGTGGCCTTGGGGGGCTCTACAGCCACCCTGATCTCCCAAGTCTCTCTTTCCCTCCGTCCCTCGCCCCCTCCCCACGCTGTGCCCGCTAGCCCGCCTTGGTGTCTATGCAAGGCCGCTTGTCATTGCGGTACTCCTGTCCCCCTCCCCCCCCAGAAGCCCCTCCTTGTTCCTTGTGAACCTTGGTAATCCTAATAAAACTGAGCAAATCCAAAGTGCTGCTTCCAGTCTTTTGTCCCGCTTGGCGAGCTATCCCCAGGAGCCAGTCTCCAGTCCCACACAGGCCCTCAAAACGCCATTCCTTTCTACGCACTGGCCTGCAAGATGGTGGTGGCGGTGGGAGGGGGTGTTCGGTTTTCTGGGGGCGAGCTCTGCAGGACCGCAGAGGTGTTGCGTCAGGCCAATGCGGACCATCCTGGCCAATGGCAGGGCAAGGCTGAAGAAGCCCCACCCCCCCATGGGCGGCTCCAGTGGACCAGCCAGGTAGCAAACAGCTTCCCACGCCGTCCCGTTTCACGCAGGCGCACAGAAACGCCCTGCGCCCTGGAATATCCATTTGTTAGTGATTCATCTTTTTATTAATCATGCGTCAAACCTTTCCTCGGGCCTAGTGTGAACTGGGCGTGGGGAGCCATTGGAATCCATTTTTTTTCTCATTTGCATGTAGTTAAAAAAAATGGCAATCTGTCGAGACATTACATCCTAATACAGGGATGCGCTCTCGTATTAGGGAGAGGGTGCAGGGTCCCTGGAACTGGGCCTGGAAGAGAAGGCAAGAAAATATGGCTTGAGCGGAAGAGTGCATAGGGATAAGGGGAAAGCAAAGGGAGATGACTATGTAGCTGTGTGACTGAGAGGGGAGGGGTCGGCAGTTGGGTGTCTCAGGCTGACTATCTGGGAGACCTCAGGAAAGGCCGAGTTGTTTCAAATTTTGGATACGGTAAACTTTATTTCAGCGGACACCAGAAATGCCTCCAGATTCTTTGTGCCTCATAATAATAACTTATACAAATATCCAGGTTGGTCTCCGGCAATATACCTCCCGAATTTTCCATGCAACGCCCCTGTTTAATGGGAGGCTTTGGATACAGTCTGATTTGAATTTTAGCGGATGCCCTCTGCTGGCTGCCAGGAGAATGGTTTGGAGGGAGGGAGAGCAGAGCCCTGAGAAGTTGACGCTCTTCCTCAGGTGAGATTGGCTTAATGGGCAGATATGGAAGGTTTTTAAAATAAAATTTTTCCTTTAGAAGTTTCAGATTTGGAGGCACCTGGCTGGTTCAGTCTCTTGGATCTCAGGATTGTGAGTTCCAGCCCCACCTTTAGTGTAGAGATTACTTAGAAAAATAAAATCTTAAAACAGCTTTAGATTTATAGAATTATTGCAAAGATAATATAGAGAGTGCTGGTATACCCCACAGCCAGTTTCTCCCGTTGTTAACATCTTAACATTAGTATGGTACATTTATCACAGTTAATGAACCAGTATCAATACAGTATTATTAACTAAAGTCCGTATTTTATTCAGATTTACTTAGTTTTTAATGTAAGTTTTCTGTTACAGGATGCCATCCAAAATAACGTATTAAATTTAGTCATCATGTTTCCACAGGCTCCTCCTGGCTGTCACTGTTTCTCAGAATTTCCCTGTTTTTGATGACCTGGAGTCATCAACATTTGAGGAATACTGGTCAGGTATTTTGTAGAATGTCCCTCAATTGGGATTTGTCTGATGTTTTTTTCTCATGATTAGATTGGGGTTATGGGTTTAGGCAAGGAAGACCACAGAAAGAAAATGCCAGTCTCATCATATCAAGGGTACATACTATCACTATGTCTTACATTGTTGATGTTAACTCTGATCACCTGGCTGAAGTAGTGGGGTATGTCAGGTTTTTCCACTGTAAAGTTACTCCTCCCCTCCCCCCATCCCTCTTTCTATGTACTATGTTCTTTCCCTATGTGCTTTTTGGAAGGAAGCCACTAAGTGTAGCTCATGCCTAGGGAGTGGGAAGTTAAGCTCCATCTCCTTGAGGGGGAAGTATCTACATAAATTAATTAAAATTCTCCAGCACAAAAGACCTCTCTATTATATGAGAGCTTTTAAGATGATGGAATCAGTGGGCTTGGGATATGGGAAAAGAGGAGTCAGGGATGACTGCCAGGTTGTTGTGGGACCTTTGGCAAGGCCCCTTCCCTCCCTTGTCCCACCTCTGTGAAATAATTGGAACACCAGATCTTGGACATACTCCATGATTCTGATAAGTGTTTGGGGGAGAGCATGAAGGCTTTGATACCTGTGGTTCTGACCTGGGACCGCATTGTCAGAGGTGGGTAGAAGGGACTCTGGCCCAGAAAGAGGAACATCTTGCCTGAGGGCCAGAGCTGAGAGTGCAGGATCCCGAGTAGAAGGCATCTTATGCGGAGGAAAAAGGTACCTCTGTGCAGTATCAGGGGCCAGTCCCAATTATCAGGTGGTGAAGGAGGGGGGAAACAGCAAGGGCAAAGGGCCTGGAGTGGGCCAGGAAGAGGCCAGTCTGAGAGACAGACGGCCTGGGTAGCTTTCCCTCAGTGTGCTCTGCTTCACAATGTGATTCCATCACCCTCGCTAGAGGGTCTGAGTTTTCCCTTCTGCAAACTCAGGTCAAGCATGCTGGGATATCAACCCTAGAGAGGCAGCCTTCCCAGAACCCCAAGATGGAGTCCAGCCCTAAAGCAGGCCTCTGAAGCCTGGCTCTCATCATGCTCTTCCCTGATTCCTCTCTGCTCCCCTAATCAAATCCCCAGCCTCTCATCCTGGCGTTTGAGGCTCTTCTTCACCCACCCTGTCAGAGAAGGCCTCTGGCTGCAGGGACAGTTAGAAGCCAGTTCTGGGATTCTAATATAGTTGGCTAGGGTGCTTATGTTTTGGGTTAAGGCATGGGAGGAGAGGATGTTCTTTGCCTAGAGTGACATCTTTTCCACGTCCTCACTCCTCAGTGTGTGGTGTGACTTCAGGTCCTGCCCAGTTTGGGCCTCCAAAAGGGAGAGCTGTTCTTGAAGGTCTTTAAGGTCACATCCAACTCCAAAATATAGTCTTTGCTGAAGACCAGAGAAGACGGGCCCCATGTGCTGGAAGCCTAAACAGAAACCAGGAAGAGGACCAGGTGGAGGACAAGGAGTCATGGACCCAGTGTGCCCCAGGGCCTGTTCCCATGCTGAAGCTACTTGTCTTTGTATCCTTCATAGCTTACCCCACTCCTCTGCGGCAGAGGGCTATGTTCCTGGGGGTGAGGTTCCCAGAATCTCCTGGGACCAGAACTTTAAAGTTCCATCTACTTCTGTGAACAAAAGCAGATGGGCAGGGACAAAACTAGATTCAGGAATATCCCTCCTTCTCAGGTGACCAAGGGTGCCAGTAATGGTTCCCTTGGTTGGAGGTATGGAGGATGATTCGGGATGAATCCTATTCATTCAGTAAATATTGATTGAATACTTACTGTGTGTCTAATACTAAACTGAGTGATAGGGATACAATAAGGAAACATGATAAACTAAGTCTGTCTTCATGGATCCCAGAGTTTAAGACAAGTTTGTGCCATGGACCTGTTTGGTGATCTGGTGAAGCCTATGGGCCTTTATTTTTTTCTTCTTAAACAAAACAAAACAAAAACAGTATCTTTTAGATGCATAAAATAAAATACCCAGAGTTACAAAAGAAACTAATTATATTGAACTATAGTTATTAAAATATGGAAAAAGCATATATGTGCTATGGTAATATATGTGCTCCTCACTAATCCCTTAAATCATAAGTCGTAGTGGAGGGCCAAATGACTGTCATGATTTTTTAAAATGTTTGTTTGTTTGTTTGTTTGTTTGTTTAGAGAGAGAGAGAATCCCAAGCAGCCTCCACACTTTCAGTGCAGAGCCCAATGAAAGGCTCAGTCTCACATATCATGAGATCATTACCTGAGCTGAAATCAGGAGTTGGAAGCTTAATGGACTGAGCCACTCAGGCGCCCCTATCATGAATTTAGAATATAGATGAGATTACACGATATTTCAAGAGATCTGCAACATCTATAATGTAATATGAAAATCTCTGTGATTTCTCTTGGTGACAGAATCACAAGTACTACTACTATTTTACATTCTTTACTGAAAAAAATGCCAAATTTCAATTAGAGCGAAAATAAAGATGTATACTTTTTTCATCCAAATTCATGGGCCCCTCAAAACCCTGTCCCGGGACTGGATTGAAGGTCCATCAACCCCAATTAAGAATCCCTGATAACAGAGATGTCCTTCCTGTCTCTCCTCCCTGAGTAAACAGAACCTGGGTTTATTCAGGGTCTTGTTGCTGTGTGACCTCAAGCCAATCAGTTTACGTCTCTGGGGCCATAGTTCCTTCAGTCTGAAACAATGGAAAAAGCAAGAATTAGGAGGGGAGACCTTAACTATATATGTTCCAGGCAATTAATTTGTGTCCTCTCAATCCGCACAACAGCATTGTTAGGAAAGATTTCAAAATTATCTTCCCATTTCACAGATGGTTAAACAGGCTCCTAGTGAGGTTGTCACTTGACCAATGTCCTAGTAAGCAGCAGGAGCTGGCGGGTGACTGGCCAGAGCCCCATAACCACCTCATCTTCCATGGATGAAATTAGGTAGTGTGTTCATTTTGAGCAAAAGAAACCTGGATCAGAAATCCCTGCAAGTGGGGTAAAGTCGTGTCTCTTAGCAGAACGTTGGCTTAGGCAAGATGGCTCACGGAGAGTAAGATGTCAAGGAGCCGAGAATCTACTTGACTGACGCCCAGCCTCGCTTTGGGCTTCGAGTCTGCGTGTTCCCAACTAATTCCCGAAGCCCTGTCAAACAGACTGGCAACGGGCAACGACAAGTCCTCTCTCCTGGCCAATCCTATTAAAGGGTGGGCTTGGCTCATAAACCAATCAAAGACCCCAAAGGGGGCGGAGTTTTCTTCGGCCTGGATCCCGGCCTGGGGGCTAAAACTAAAGTGTTTCCATCTCCAGCCAATCCCAGGGAAGGCAGGAGGGCACTCCTCCAATGGGAGCCCGAGAGCGGTCAGTAGCTGTGGAGGCCTCGGAACCCGCTTCTTCTCCAGCCGGCGGGAGGGACGCTTCCAGTGTGTTCACTAGATCTAGCCTTCGGTCCCTCGAATCTGCTCGCGCTCGGCAGCGGCGGCACGGACGGCAGGAGGTGTCTGGTGAGACGCTGTTAAGACGGGGATGGGGGGTGTGAGGGAACGAGGCCGGGCTGGAGCGCAAGAGGGGTGGGGTCTGGGCGAGCTTTTACCTGGGCGGCCTCTTAACCGTAGGTCAGCGGGTTGCGGAGGATCGTGCGGGTAGCAAAGGGAGGGCGAGTGCCCCTTCAGCCCCAGACAGCAACCAGGTGAGTACCCTGCGGAGCTCATCGCCCGTGCCCACTCTCCACCCCCCACCCCTGTCTCTTGGGAAATGGTTCTGTGCAGGTCTTCAGCTCACGTGATCGTCTGCGTGCGTGTCTGAAGTCTCCATCTCTCTGCCGCTCCTCTCCCTCCCCACCTCCATCTTACTGTCTGTACGTCTCTATGTTTCTGCCTGTCTCCTTCTCTGAGACATGCTAGACAACCCAGACCTAGAAGGCTGAACCCTGACTCTACTAGTCAAAACTAGCCATGATACCTTGAGCCATCTACATCACCCAAATAGGCCTCAGTTTCCTCATCTGTCAAATGGGAGTCCAATAATCTACACCTGAGACGATACATGTGAATCACTTTGCCCAGTGCCTGGCCCCTAGAAAATTTCCAATAAATTATGACTGTCGTGAATGAAAAAAAAATATATGATCTCTCTTGGTCTTTGACTTTGTTTTCTCCCTACCTGTCTCTGACCCTACCCCCATGATTCTTCTTTCTGAATGCTTCTGTCTTTCTGTGTTACTGTTTTTCATCTTTGTATCTGTCTCTTTCCCATCTCTAAGCAGGTTAGAGGTGCATTGTTTATAGCAATGAGTTTGGCCTGAGAGCAGTTATGAGCTTAGCCGGGGTTCTGGACTGTTCTGTGGGTAAAAATAAATAAATGAATAATAAATTAAAATAAATTAAAACAAATGGAGCTGGGTCTTGGCCTGCTTCTGGCCTCACTGAGGAGAGACTCCTCTTTATTCTCCCAGTCTATTGTGTTAAACAGGCAGAGACCTGCAGGGTTGGAAGCAACTTAGATGCAAAAGTGAACCAGGCCCTTTATCCTTTATCATGTTGGTCACCACAAGAAGATCAGGCTTCTCCTAGTTATATCTCCACACAGCCCTGGATGCCCTCTTTTCTGTCCCCATCCTGAAATCCTTTAACCAAGCCTTCTGGAACTTGCTGTCAGTCACCAGCAAAATCTCCATTCTCATGCTGGCTTCTGAATAGTCCCTTCATTTTCTTGCCATGCCTTAGTGGTTCTCATACCTATTGGAATCAACGCTCCAGTTTTTATAATTTATATTTTGAAATGCCCCTTTATTCTGAAATGAAGTTCATAGGTAATAGAATCTGTCTACATACATAATTCCCCCCAAACCAACGTAATGTCCTAACTGTAATATAATGGAGAAGTAAAGGAAGAGTAATTTATAATAAAATAATATGTATTTCAATATGTAAAGGCTGGCATATAATTTCACTGGAAGACATAATGGATGGTCTTGCCGGTAATAATACTTGCACCTGGGGATGTGACACTTACATGTGTGTTGATTGCTGACTCAGAAACCATGGGTGGATAAGATGATGTGCTTTTCCAAGCCATTGTTCATGAATATAAAGAATTGTTATTCTTCATAAAGTTTTAAACAAAACAAAGTGCAGCCCTCCCTCAATTTGTATGGTTTGTTGAATTTCTGGAAAAGTCAGTACATATTACATGGTCTGGCCCCCATAACCTTTCTGACACTCTCTCCTACCACTTATTCCCTCTATCCCACACATACTGGCCTCTTTTATGCTACCTGAACATAGTAAGCACATAACATAGTAAGCACACCTCCACCTCAGGGGTTTGTATTGGACCATCCCCTAGAGCTAGAGTGCTTTTCCCCCAAATATGTACAAGGCTCGTGCCCTCACTTCCTTCAGACCTCTTCTCAGATGTCCCTTACTCAGTGAGGCTTAGCTTGACCATCCTCTTTAAAATCATAGCTCTCCCCTAGCATGTACCCCACTCTATTTTTTTCCATAGTGCTCCTCACCCTCTTCTATAGTATATAAACTACACCTTTGTTGCATTTGTCACTAATTATTTAACTTTCCTACTGTATTGTAAGCTCTAGAAGGGCAGAGATTTTTGTCTTTTTCATGCCTTGATATATCTCTATTACCTAAAACAGTGTTTAGTACATAATAGGGTCTCTTTTTTTAATTAAAAATGTTTTCAATGTTTTATTTGTTTTTGAAGGAGAGGGAGACAGAGTGTGAGCGGGGGAGGGGGGAGAGAGAGAGAGAGAGAGAGAGAGAAGACACAGAATCTGAAACGGGCTCCAGGCTCTGAGCTGTCAGGACAGAGCCCAACGTGGGGCTCCAACTCACCCACCGCAAGATCATAACCTGAGCTGAAGTCTGACGCTTAACTGACTGAGCCACCCAGGTGCCCCTTCTTAAATTTTTTTAATGTTTATTTAGTTTTGAGAGAGAGAGAGAGAGCGAGAGAGAGCGCGCACAAGTATGTGGGGGGTGGGGCGCAGAGAGAGAGGGAGGCACAAAATCCAAAGCTGGCTCCAGGCTTTGAGCTGTCAGCGCAGAGCCGGTCGCAGGGCTCCAACCCACGAACTGTGAGATCATGACCTGAGCTGAAGTCTGAAGTTGACTGAGCCACCCAGGTGCCCCAAGAGGCTCTCTTAATAAATGTTTGTTGAATGCATAAATGAATGCAGTGAATGGATTTTTCAGCTACGTGATCGTCTGATGGGATAGTCTAAAGTTGCATGGGATGCAGTATAACTCTTTGCTATATGAAGCTGTCTTCTTCACTGCAGGATACTGGGTATCCAGGTCCATGCCTACTAAATGTTACTAGTGATCTCCAGTTACTATGATAATCAAAAATTCCCCCGAACATCCCTTGACTGTCTGCCCCCTGCTTGAATAGAAATTGGCTTTCCCCTGAGCACTCTGCTCCCCAGCAACCCCCTCATATATACTCTTGACAGGAGGCCTGCAGGTGAAGGTAGGTGTCCTCACTCTAATTGATCTTCCAGACACTTTCTTTCTCTCCTCCTCAAAAAACCTTTTTTTTTTTTTGGCATTAAAAAATTTTATTTTTAAATAACTTCAGACTTTAAAAGTCATAAAAGTGGTACAAAGAATTCTCACCTATCCTTCACGCAGATTCCTTAAGTATTAATAAATTATGCAACTATAGTTCAATTATCAAAATTAGGGAATTAACATTGGTAAAATACTATTAATGAAAGTATAGAATTTATTCAGATTGCATCAGTTTTTCCACTAATGCAATTTTTCTCTTCCAGGATCTAATCCAGGATCTCACATTGCATTTAGTTGTTATGTCCTCCTTAGGCTGAATACCTAACAAAAGATGTGTCTTCAATGTTTTATGTCAGAAGGCACATGATGTCAGTTTGTCCAATACTGGTTTTGTACACTTTGGCTATTTGTTTAAGGTGGTGTCTGCCAGGTTTCTCCATTTTAGTTGCTCTTTTTTCCTTTGTAAGTGGTCTGTGGGGAAATACTTTATGATTATGTAAATATCAACCACCTTGTTTTAAATTTCAAGTCATCAGACTAAACCATTACCCACCCATCTGTGTTATAGTCAGGTATAGGGATACACTCGTACCTGCCCCCATCATACCTCATTTCTAGAATTTAGCCACTAGCTTGCTGTCACTCTTTAACACTACCCCAGTCCTACTTGGTGATTTTAATATCTGCATTGATAATCTTTCCAACGTTCTTGTCTCACTTCCTTGATCCGCTTTCTTATAATGCTCTTGCCTTTCAACCCCACCTCAGCCACCTTCTTCAGTAGTCTTACCCTTCTTATTTCTGAAAAAAAAAATTTTTTTTAATGTTTTGTTTATTTCTGAGAGAGACAGAGTGATTGGGGGGGGGGGAGGCTCAGAGAGAGAGGGAGACACAGAATCTGAAGCAGGCTCCAGGCTCTGAGCTGGCTGTCAGCACAGAGCCCAACGCAGAGTTCGAACCCACAAGCCATGAGATCATGACCAGAGCTGAAGTTGGACGCTTAACCGACTGAGCCACCCAGGTGCCCCGTCTTACCCTTCTTCTTATCCGTACCTATCACTGCATGACCTCTGTACTCTTGTTTCAGGCATCCTGCCATCCAGCCAGCATTTCTTATCCTTCTAGTTTACTCCCTCTAGGTCCGCAACTCCAACAACCCCTCCACACCACTAAGACTGAACGCTTTCACTACCCATTACTTCCTCCGTGTTCCCATGCCCTCCCTTTAATCAGCTAAGATTCCATGGTCCATCTCAATAACCGTAGCCCTGCATACATCCTCACTTCCTTTGCCCTGTTTGTACTTTAGCATAATCTACAGGGCAAAACTCCAGACCAGTTTAACTCCAACTTTCTGCTTGCTCCACTGCACTCCCCTGGGTCATTTGCTCTCCTACCTTCATTGTTGACTATTTTGTATCTTCTTTCTCCTCAAATCTCCTGATATCTCCCCTTCCAGCCTGTGCTCGAGCTTTCCATTTGCCTCAAGAATTAAAACCATCAGAATAAAACCTGCACAGATTCCCATCACCACATCTAACCACCAAACAGCACCTGTACTCACATAGTCTGCCTTCTTCTCTGTTATTATGGATAAACTGGCCCTGCTGTCATCAGACTCTGGTCCCTTCACTCGAAGACATTGTTCCAGCAAGTTCCCCCTCTCTACAGGATCATTAGCACACACAGACATTCTGTTATTGCTCCCATATTTTTGTACAGCTTTATTGAGGCATATCTAATACAATAAAATTCAGTCTTTTAAAGGGTGCTCTTGTTTTTTAGTATATTCAGAGTTGTGTAACCATCACTGCAATCAACTTTAGAACAGTTTTATCCGCCCCCAAAAGAAGCTTCATACTCATTAACAGCCCCTCCCCATTACTCCCCTCCCCTCAGTCATAGGTAACCACTAATCTACTTTCTGTCTCTATCTATTGATTAGTCTAGACATTTTATATAAATGTGATCATACAGTACATTGGTCTTTCTGACTGGCTTCTTTCATTTAGCATAATGGTTTAGAGGTTCATCCATGTTGTTGATGTAGCATTCCTTTTCACTGCCAAATAATATTCCATGTGATGAACTAGGCCACATTTTGTTTGTCCTATCTGTTTGTCAGCTGATGGACATTTCAGTGGTGTTCGTGTTTGGT